ATCAGGAAGAAGCGCTGGAAGTGGATAGGGCACACCTTGAAGAAATCAGCTGATTGCGTCACAAGACAAGCCCTCACATGGAATCCTGAAGGTCAACGGAGAAGAGGAAGACCAAAGAATACATTACGCCGGGAAATAGAGACAGACATGAGAAGAATGAACAAGAACTGGATAGAACTAGAAAAGGAAGCCCAGGACAGAGTGGGTTGGAGAAAGCTGGTCGGCGGCCTATGCTCCATTGGGAGTAACAGGCGTAAGTAAGTAAGTAAGTAATATGCATACCGTAAATTAGGAACATGGACCACATGGAAGAAACTTTTGTTCAAGAAGCCGCAATTCGATGGTGATACAACTCGTGATTATACGACAGTCCTACTAGAACAATGAAAAGAACTTTTAATCCAGGTAATCTCTGTTTGTTGATCTTCATTCTATTCACGGTAGTCCCCTAATTGAAGGATAAACAATTCGTTTCCTCCACATCTTCATGTATTTATGCATTCAACTACTTCTGTAGAGAAAATTATATTGGATTTACGACCAGACAACTAAGCCAACGAGATAACAAGTATCTCACTTGGTGTATTAGAAATAGTCAGAATGAAACCATGCACCTCTCCTTTTTATCACACTTAGTTCATAGATAAAACCAAAGCATTCACAGTGGTTCATCAATGCGCATCAACGATCCCGACTCGCGAGATTCAAACCCAGGACCTACCAGTCTCTCGCCAGAGCACTTAACCAATAGACCACTGAGCCGGTCGGCATCCAACGGTGTCTATGTCTATCTCCAACCGATCCACGAAATTGAGCAACCATTCACCAATGTCTTGAGTGAGTTGATGTCTCCCAACAGACCTGGTTGATTTCCGCTGGTTACTCCTTCTCACTAGAACTCCATGAAATACCTTACTGAGCTAGTCACTATTGAGCACATGATCGTTATCAGAAGGGGTTTGGTTTATAGCCTTGAGATCATGAGCCAATTGAAGCTAGACCACCATGGAAAACCCAGAAGCATTGAACGGCCGTTTCGTCCTATTGTGGGACTCCTCAGCAGTGCGCACCAATGATCCCGCCTCGCGATATTCGAGATTCTTATTACTTAATTTTTAATCTAACCATTATCTTAACAAGTTTATTATTTCTAGTTTTGATTTACTTCATGTGTTGAAATAATTATTTAAGTTATCATTATTCTCATGACTATTACACATGTCACTTTACTACCAATTTAAAATCTTTAATTATTATGTTATGCAATTAGTTATGCAATCAATCTCACAAACTGACCTAATTATTTTTCATATGTCTATCTAAATATCACTTCTATCAGAGTAAAACCTGATGAAAATCTTATTAGAAACAGTATTGTTTACTTTAAAGAGGAAGGATTTATCTGTAAAATCTTAGAGAATGAATTTAAAGTATATCTAACATCTGGTCCAAGCTTTTCAAAGAAACGTAATCAAGCATCAAAATTACCTAACACAAATAGATACATGGTTCTTCGGTTAACTTTATACTAACTAGGTCATCCAATCATGTTAGCAATATTTAAAGTAGGTACTTGGTTTAGTGTGTATGAAACATGTTGTATATCACGGAAAGAGTAATAAGATAACAGATTGTGTGTATTCGTAAGTGGATCTGAGGTGTAAGAAGAAATTTCACTAACTATTTATCGCTTCTGATTGTATTGTTTGCTTATATGCGTTGCTCCATAAGACGGTTACTGATTATCAATTATCAGATTAAGCCTACCCTGGTAATATTAGCTTATTATCCAGAGTGATTAGGTTTCAAATTTTCACATTAGTTTAATTATTATTATCATCATTGTCTCCTCCTACCCCCCCCCATTTCCAGTCTAGTTGACCTTTTATTTTATTCCAATATATAAATGTTCATAACAAGTGTATGTGTGATCAGATTGTTCGAAATGTATTGTGCTAATATCTCATCACATAGCTCTGATAATTTTCGTCTTTTTATTACATAATCGAAAATAAGTATATGGCAGCAAATCACTGAAATAAAATGCAGTTCATAATTTTCACTTTAATCGCCCTGAAAAAATTAGATCTCAAACCTAGTCAGTAGTTTTCAAATAGTGATTGGGTTTTTCAGCTTACATTGTTTCTAGTGTTTTTAAAGATAATTACAATCAGTGATAATGAATTTTAATAGTTGAATTCATGAGTCGATCTTAGTTAGAACACTATTGAAGACCTGGGATCACTGGACGACCGTTTCGTCCTAGTTTGGGATTCAGAAGTGTACATCCACGGTCCTGCATGCTCTTGCGTAACCATTTATCCCTTAAATTCATTTAGTATTCTTTGTTTTTTGAATCTTTCCATCGATGTGTTAGGACTGCAACTGGTCAGTCTCTAATTGGCATATGTGCATACTGCGCGTATTGCCTCGATATAGCCTTAATTCACAAGCATGGTAAGCAGAGATGGACAGTGGCTAACAGTGGAATCCAGGACGCGCGTTTCGTCCTATTCAAAATAAAACGATACTAAATGAATTTAAACTTCACACCATCGCACAAGCAAGTGGCTATCAGGACTCAGTGGCCGAGTGGATAACGCGATGGTGTTTGAAACAAAAGGTACTGGGTTCTAGTTCAAGAGTGAACATCAACTCTGAGATGCAGGTACATCCAGCTGACGATCCCCAAATAGGACGAAACGCGCGTCAAACTGGATTCCACTGCTAGTCACTATCCATCTCTGCTTGTCATTCATCCCCTGTCTGAGGTAGATACCTGTCTTTACTCGAGACGCATTGAACTCCACCGGTCACGCAAGATCATGGATCGATCGACAATAACACCGTTGAATGTAGGCTCAGTGATCTAGAGGTTAAGCATTCACGTGAGACCGTGGATGAGCACTGCTGAGGAGTAATACACTAGGACGAAACGGTTGTCCAGTGCTTCCAGGTTTTCAGTGGTGTCCCAGTTTATATCGACTAATGAATTCAATTATTAAAATTATTAAAATCTTCACAATTCCCCATTGTGATGATAATGAATCTCTTCAAATTTATCAGTCTTAGACCTAATTATTTTTAACATATGATATATATCACATCATATTAGCTTTCGTTTTTCATGGTTACATGAAAACAACTTGATAAACAGTTACCATTTGAACATATTATTTGACTCAGTGAGAAAAACTTAGTTTATTTCACAAGAAATTTAAATTATTATCTTCTTTTATACTAAAAAAGTATTGTAGCTACGTAATTATACAAAACAATTATCATAGTTGCTAGCATGAGTCAATTGAAGCTAGACCACCGAGGAAAACCTGGAAGCACTGGACGGCTGTTTGTCCCACAATAAGCATGAACACCGTTGAAAGCTGGTTCAGTGATCTAGAGGTTAAGTATTCTCGTGAGACCTTAGATGCGCACGGCTAAGGAGTCCCACACTAGCACGAAACGGTCGTCCAGTGCTTCTAGGTTTTCCTTGGTGGTCTATCTTCAATTGACTCATTTTTTCAACTATGAAAATACTGAAATCTCCACAAAACCCCTTCTGACAAAACAATTAATCAAGAAAACTGTGAATTGAAATGATGACAGTTATGAAGATGTTTAATAATTAACCGCAATAATGAGAGGTCACTAATAAAATAGGTTCTATATTACCTTAATGAATGAATGTTCAATTTCTCAGCTAATATAATTAGTAAAATGAAATTGATTTGGTTATCCATTAATTCAACTTAAAATCAAAGTCGGTACATTTTACAGGAAGAAAGGACAGTACAAAGAAGCGTATTTCCCCTGATATAACAACAAAAAACTAACGAACTATAATTCTATTAAAAATTCATTACTGCCTGAAGATGTTTCATTTAATAGAAGGATTATTACTGTTTACAAGACAAACCTCAGGAGTCATAGTTTCATTCAGTCAGTAATTTTGTCATAAGTAATTTAGAAGTTGGAACAAGTGTGACACAATGTGATGAAATCACCAAAATGAATAACCAAGAAGTTATGGTGTCAGTAACAACAAAAGTGTATGGGGTTAAAGAATATAATTAGAGAAGAGAGAATGATATGTGAAAAAAGTACGAAACAAAATGTGAAAGTCAAGATTTGGTAGTAGATTAAGGGTGGATCTATCTGCATCATTGCGACCAGTTCTGGAACATATCGTTAAAAGTTTCCAACTATTGGTCACGATAACCATTAGGACTTTCATTAGGTAGTCCACACTTACTAACTTGGTTCAGGTCAGCATTCAATGAAATCATGGACCAATGCCATGTCATTGTTTCGCCACATTTAGTTTTCTCACAACCTCTCACTCCAGCCAACGCTGGCATTGAGGTAGTCCGTGATTAGACATACGTAGCACATATTCTAACCGCTTAACTTAATAGCAGTTCACAGCTTCACAAACCAATTTGTAATCGTTGCCTATTACCCAATAACTAACCTCGACATCAATAACTTGATAATTCCAACATACATGACCAACGCTCCGAAAAAATACGCGTGATCAAATACCAGTAACCTACAATTTTTTCTACTTCTTAAAGGCTATATTTTACAGCTGTAAAAAGTTTCTTCATCGTACTTTTTAATGACAAACCTCTAGATTCGTGCAGACAAATACTGTCATCAAGTCAAGGCATTCCATTATTAACAAGTGTTAGTAAGTACCCCATGTTATGAATCCTATAGAAACATGAATATTTGTTTAATAAATATAACTTAACGTTTGAAACTAGGTGGAATTTCATATATTTACTGTCCACAAGTTTTAGTTAACAGCTGCAGCTTCGCGAAAGTCACTCAGATAGCTTAGATGACAAATTCAATGATTGAATACTGAAATACATACATTCCCGTCTCTTTTAGTAAATCCCTGAAAATATATACGAAAACGTGCTAATGTACAAATTATAACAAACCGACTTAGTAACAATACTTTTTTCATTAAAGTAATTGCATAAAAAACTTACAATAATGTCCTTTGACATGTTGCACAACGAAAACATGATTTATGATAAACTCGTTCACCGGTAGATATACGATCTACAGGATAAATACGTTTTCCACAATCAAAGCATAAATCCATATATTGCTAATAGGGGCAAATATTTTGAGAAAAAAAATTCAGGAAAAACATGATATACTACTTGTGCATGATTAATATAAATAATTAAAATTTTAAGGAAAAAAAATCATAAAAAATCTAAATTATAACAGTCCAAGATTTCAATGAATGCTTCTTTATCTAATTCATACTCCCAGTTAAGCATTCGCCAGTAAACCTGAAAGTCATGCATCTGATTACTGATTAAGTTATGGGTACAAATCGATAAGCCATCTAATACCTGAACAAATCAATCATTCAGTTCTATTTGATTATTAATAGTATCTAAACTACAATTAGTTTCTAGTATATGGAACTTGTAAATTAAATCAACCTTCATAAAATTTTCTTCAGATAAATTTATTTTCATTGTCGGTATATTGTGTTGCACAATTTTATAGTTGAAATCATGAGTCAATAGAAGCTAGACCACCACGGAAAACCTGTAAGTAGTGCGCATCCACGATCCCGCCTCACGAGATTCCAACCCAGGACCCATCAGTTCTGAGGAGTTCCACAATAGGACGAAACGGCCGTCCAGTACTTACAGGTTTTCCATGATGGTCTAGCTTTCATTGACTCGCAATTTCAACTATAAAATTACTGAAATCTCTACAAGAAACCCATTCTAATAAAAGTGAAACAACTGAGAATGCTGAAAAATGTTGATAGGAGTTCATTTCTGAAATGTCACTATTATACAACTTATAAAACAATGGTTGTGAATGTTATTTCTTCTACAGTGAACATAAATCTATTCCATTGGATACTAATAGGGTAAAGCGATGTTTTACCGTTGTATAGCTAATAATAAAGTTTATTTTCATAGAGATAAAGCAATGATTCACATACGTTAAAGAACATTTACTTACCTTATTTTACGTTTCTGTATAGCATTTGTTAATCTTTAATTTTGTCTAACCTACGACACATAACATGTTTCTATATATAAACATTTTAATAAGTTATTCATGAATTTATTATTTTCAGAAAAGGGTTTTGTGGAGATTTTAGTAATTTTATAGAGTTGAGGAGTCCCGTAATAGGACGAAACAGCCGTCTAGTCCTTCCAGGTTTTCCATGGTGATCTAGCTTCAATTGACTCATGATCTCAACTCTATAAAATTCACTATTTGGTTAATGTAGAGTTAGCTTCAAAGAAATCACATTGAGATAGACTGTTAAATAATGATTGTCAACTTTCATCAAAGACTAGTACTTTTTTCCTCTTTTTTGAATATAAACACAAATAGTGTAAACAATTTACAAAAATAATAACAAATGATTTAGTTCTTAGCTTGATAGGCTTTTTTTCCAGCATATACTATTGTGATATCAGAACGGATTTTGTGGAGATTTCAGTATTTTCAAAGTTCAAATCATGAGTGAATTGAAGCTAGACCACAAAGGAAAACCTGAAAGCACTGGACGGCCGTGCCATCCTATCATGGGACTCTTCAGAAGTGCGCATTCACGATTTTGCTATCAACATGTCAAGAAAAACCAATGAAATGATAGAGATGGATCTTTCATAAATACATTTTATTTTAAGAGTTGATTAGTTTATTTGCTTAATTGATATCCGTCTATCAATTAAGGGATGAGTATACTGCACAGCAGTTCGCTCTGTTCTACTTTACGGCTGTGAAACATGGCCAATGAGAGTAGAAGATACACGTAAGTTACTAATATTTGACCACAGACGCCTTAGAAATATTGCTCGCATCTGCTGGGATCACTGGGTAAGTAACACGGTGGTCAGACACACGGTATTAGGGAATGATGTTAAATCAGTTGATGAGGTCATGAATATTCATCGACTGAGATGGTAAGGCCACGTGCTACGTATGCCTGAACACCGATTACCACGACGCGCTATACTGACTAGTATTGAGGATGGTTGGAAGAAAGTTAGGGACGGCCAAACCGAAACGTGGCAACAGTGCTTGAAGTCACTGACTTCTAGTCTGAGCCATGTTGGTAGATGCAGACTACCTGGTTGAGGTCTGCGTGACTATCGTAACCGATGGTTGGAGAATCTAGGTGACATGGCTCACAATCGATCACAGTGGCCTGCGTAGGTGTATACAGTTTCTGTCTTCCCTTAAACCTTGAGATTGAAATTGCTTCATAACTTTCTTCTTTTCTATACTATATCCTTATATACAACCTATCTTTTATATACTACCATCACCACTAAATTAAGTACTATGAATCCGGTGTTGATCTTGTTGAGCTAACGAGGTATGGCAACTTGGACCGATGCATATATGTGCCTGGTCTCACGTTGTAGCTGACTGACTGAATGAGTTTATTTTCTAAATTCTCATTGTCATTTTAAGCAACTTCATCAGTTCTTTCTTTGAATAAAAGATACAAATGATGTTATCTTATCAACGTCAAATATATATCACTTCAAATGAATGTAGCACCCGGAAACAAAAATGACAAAGAAACTGTTTACTGAACTATTTAATCAATCATATAATAAACTAAACCACTTCAACAACTTTTTTCCAGCATAACAACAAAATGTAAACATTGCCGCAAAGAATAAGAAATGAAAAATCTGATGATGTTCACAGGATAAATTGTTAGTTGCCATGATGTTTTATTTGTTGATAGAATTGAAAACCAATTTTAAGCAAAATATAACTTTAATGACACGTTTTTTTAAAAATGAGTTAACTTCGCAAAACTTTAAAAAAAATCTTTCTAATTATCACTGAAGTCATTCTAATCAATTAAAAATCAGTTTCTCTTGGATGTAAGCTGTGTACTCACCTACCTACTTGCTTACTTATCCACCTACTTACTTACTCACTTACTTACTTACCTACCCACCTACCTACTTACTTACTTACTTACCTACCTACTTAATATCTGTTTATGTAGACATGTTCGTTTGTAATTTTCACACGTACAAATAATTACACTTTTCTTCTCTTTTCTTAAAAAAAAATACTTCAGTAGACACTTCATCAAATCATCTTTTTCTCATTATTTCATTATTATTTCACGAATGAATCACGTATTGTTGATTTAACATATTACACTCAATGCTATGGAATAGTAATTTTTGAAAGTTCTTCATATCTACACTGAGTTTTATCTATCATTTTTATTGCTACTGTTAGTCTAGTAGGGTATAAACAGAAAGAAAATTTTCATAGTTTCAAGCGTGAGTGGATTGGAGCTAGATCACCAAGGAAAACCTGGAAGCCCTAGACGGCCGTTTTGTCCTATTGTGGGACTTCTCAGCAGTAGGACGAAATGACCGTCCAGTGTTTCCAAGTTTTCCTTGGTTATTGAGCTTCAATTGACTCACGCTTGAAACTATGAAAATACTAAATCTTGTCAAAAACCCCTTGTAACAAGAAAGATATTTAATGATGAATCAAATCTTTCTTGCTAGTGATATAGCTTTCTAGTTGTCAATCAGTTTACAGCCTTAAAAACAATCAGGTATCAAGCAAAACAAACATTTTAAAAAGTATACGAATAGAAAATTTGAAGTCAGAAAGATCATGTGTTAACAGAAGTGAATGAGAAAATATAACTATTCATTTTGTTAGTAAATCAGATAACAAGAAAAACTGTTAACGTATCAAGATCTTAATGGATCAAACAATAAAAAAACAGGTAATTTTAAATCTTTATGTTTGAAATAAGATTGAATAAAACAAACTAGAAGTGTAAATTTTGAACTTCAAACTTCATCCCATTGCACAAGCAAGTGGCTATCAGGACTCAGTAGCTGAGTGGATAACGCGATGACGTTTGAAGCGAAAGGTACTGGGTTCGAGTCCCAGAGTGAACATCATCGCTGAGACGAGAGTATGTCCGGCTGACGAATCTTAAATAGGACGAAACGCGCGTCCTGGATTCCGCTTCTACCCACTATCCATCTTTGCTTATAATGCTTGTGAATTAAGGCTATATCAAGGCAATACGCAGACTATGTACATATGGCTAATAAGAGACTGACCAGTTGCAGTCCTAAAAAAATCGATGGGAAGATTCAAACAAACAATACTAAGTGAATGTAAATAAGATTGTTCACTTTCATCGAATGACATGATCCAAAGGAAAATCTTCTTTACTGAACTGTCTATATTTTGTAGAGAAATGTAATGGGTTTTTTTCGACGCTTTAAAACTGGGAACATAAATTTAGTTATTAAACAGAACACTTTTAAAACACTGAGTTTAAATGGAACCATTTTGTTTGGAATATTACTTTATGAAATGTAAAAGTCGTATATAGTGTTTTGAGAAAATATTTTAAACCTTTAAAATAAGCAAGCCCTCTGCAATTTCATGAAAACTAGACTAGCTCACTTAGAGTTTAGCACAAAACTGCACATATTTTAAGGAACAGGAAAACGAAAATAAAATTTAATGAGTACGGAATTATATTAAAACATATTAAAAAGGAATGGATTGAAGTAAAACCAAACAATGGGTTAGATGTTACAGATTTTGTGAAGGATAATGAGAAAAGTAAATCGGTTTCCTTGTGTGAGATTAGTTCTGAACCTCTTTGACTCGGGCTAATTTCTAATGCCCTTAAAATCCCATAAATAATGTTCTCCATTTTTTGAATGATTCAGACCAATAGTCAGTAATTAGACGAAATGGTTTTATAAGTCTTTACATGCTTAGACTCTATCTAGATCATCCATTCTTCAATCTATATTACTCGTTGATGATAGACAATGACTTAACATTTCTAACAAATAAATCGACATTATCAGTCAGCCAAGATTCATAACCTCACCGACTGGTATATTTTTCTCGCATAAAACTACTTACTTCAGAATTATTTACTCAGTAGTATCATCACATGTTATCAATGACAATAAGATATCACCAAATAAATAACTGCAATTTAATTAAATCTTGCACTCATACCTGTTATGTTTCATATTCTTGATAGTATGTCATACTTCATCAACTAAACCAGCTCAGTCAGTCAGTCAGCTACAA